AAAGGTATAGCAGCAATTACGAAAATAACCTTGCAGGGGGAGGATGCAGTTGGCAAAGCAATGTAGAAGAGGCGTGCTATTTGCATAAAATATGGTAGTTTAAAGAATAAAATAGTGAACAGCCATGTAATCTCCTCCTATTTTAAGAAACAGAACCTCACTGGGACCTTAGAAGTCCCATGTGCCCTTCCCTAATCATTATCTCCCACCCCCATACCAAGGAAGCACTATACTGATTTCTATGTTAATCATTTTACTTTTTTGTATAGTTTTACATTAATGTATCTATTCCTACAACGTATTTAGTTTTGAAAAACTAAGTAGGAATCCCACACCTACCTGTGTAAGAAAAGGGTGATATTGCTATTGATAAAAGGTGGCTCCCAGGAGGAGAGGAGATAGTTTGAAGAAAACCACTGGCTTTAGATTTCCTCAAGGTTTATCAGAGCCCCTTTTGGATAAATCAGTGGGCAAGGTCATCATTACATCCCAAGAAACCCAAGACTGTTGCCTAGGAATGCAGCCAGGGGACTGGGCTGCTTCATACTCTTTGCTTAAAAACTTGCCATGGCCTACCTCCCTAGTTCTCAGAATACCCCTGTGAGGTAAAACAAGGTTCCTCTGCCCATCTGTGCAGCAGGGCATGGAAGGAAGAATAAGACTTCCTCAATGTGTAGTCAAGACAAACTATGATACATATGTAGGCCAACTTCATCTGAGTTAAAAAGACAATGGTAGCAGGGATTTTGGTAATCTATGGGAATAGCATCAGCAAAACTGCAAATGCAAAAAATGTTCACTACAAAAGGAAGGACACTTGCTTGGTTAAAAAAAGAGTTCATTACATACATTAATTCAACAAATATTAAGTGCTACTATGTGTCAAGGAACCCTGGTGGTGCACTGGTTAAGAGCTCAGCTGCTAACCAAAATGTTGACAGTTGAAATCCACCAGCTGCTTCCTGGAAACCACATGGGGCAGTTCTACTGTCCTACAGGGTCACTATGAGGCAAAATAGACTCTATGGCAAAGGATTTGTTTATTATGTGTCAAAGAAGCCCTAGTGGTGCAGTGGTTAAAGCATTCAGCTGCTAAACAAAAGGTAGGCGGTTCAAACCCACCAGCCACTCCGCGAAAGAAAGATATAGGGAGTCTGGTTCCATAAAGATTACTGCCTTGGAAACCCTATGGGGCAGTTCTATCCTGCCCTATACGGTCGCTATGAGTCGGGATTGACTTGATGGCAATGGCTTTGTTTGGGTATTTTGTGTCAATATAAATTTCTAGTAAATGACACTTGTGGAATCTAGTTTCTAAGGATAACTGGTTAGACTTAATTACATTATATAATTACATTAATTAACTACATAATTTCATAAGTGGTCATTACCATTTTTACCTTATGTGAACAAGATCTAGTACACTTTTTGTGCATTTTCAATTATTTTTTTCGTCATTTAAAACGAAATACGAATTTTATTTTAAAACAGAATTTATTGAATACACAAATGAATTCAATACATTAAAACATTTGTTTTTCTTGTCAGTATTGGTACATAATGAAGACAAAAGCACTGCTAGATTAACACTTCAAAATTTAAAAAATCTGAATCATGTTCCATTAAAAAAAAAACCCTAGTAGTGTTATAAAAGTATTAATTTACACTAACTTACATATCAAAATGTTAAAAAAGAATTGCACACTCAAATCAATCACCTAAGAAGTAAAAATACAATCATGTATTTAAAAAAAAGGTTTTCATTTGAACAAAGCACAAAGGAAGGTATAAAATATTTAAAAACTACCTAATTTACATTGACTTGTTCTACTGGGGAGTGCTGCAGGTTAGCCAGATAAGCTTTAGATATTTAAAAAAAAAAAAAAAAACCATATCCAAAGGAATAGGAAAGTTGTTTAAAATAGTTTTTCTCTTATCAAAGAACCACATGATGACATTAAAATTTTCTACATTTTTCCCTGTTAGTTGCCCAACAGCTGCTAATAATGGGGGAATATACTAAAAATTTAATTTTAAAAGTAATTCTTCATCAATGAACATCTTTATAGATACAACAAAGACTGTCCTAAAGCACAGAAACATTAAATACGGTAATTTACACTTATGGCCTTCACTATTAAATGGCCTGTATATACTGTGAGTCAATCTTTTACTCTGTAAATTCAGTAATCTAGATAGGACATGAGTACTAGAGATCAAATTCCAAAAGGTTGAGTAATTTGATTCAGATCTCTTGAATTTACAGAGTATCTTTTTCCCAGGAAGCATAAAGTGGTTTATAGTTAGTATTTTGATTTTATTTTCATTATCTTCTCCCAACCCCCTTTAGAATTATCCTCTGAGGTAAATAAAAGCAAAACAAAAACAAACAAAACAACTAAACTGTCGAGTCACTTCCAACCACAGTGATTCTATGGGACAGAGTAGAACTGCCCCACAGGGTTTCCAAGGCTGTAAATCTTTACAGAAGCAGACTGCCAGATCTTTCTCCCATGGAGCGGCGGGTGGTTTTGAACAGCTGACCTTTTGGTTACCAGCCAAGTGCTTAACCGCTGTGCCACCAGGGCTCCTTTCTGAGGAAAACAGGGCACTGAAAAAATTTTTTAAATTGTAGAACTGATTGCTTGGCATCATCTTGAATAAATCCAAGCTCTTTCCTTGTTATGGGAAAATAGAAAGCCTTTTAAACCAGTATATTCCACTAGACTACAATGCAATTCCTGTGTTTTTGAAATCTCACTGGCTGAAATCAGGATGGAATTTTACAGACCAAGCTTAAATAAATGAGTGCAAATATTTTTTAGTCAAATATCAAAATAATTTTTGCTAACAACTAAGGCAGAAATTGAAAGAGCAAAGGAAAACTGGAAAGCTCATTTGTATTTACTGTAAATGTATCATTTCACCAAAATTTCTATGGGCATGGAACTAAAATAAAATCTATGAATTTCAACAGCAGATAGGTTAGAATTTTCTTCCTTCAAAAGAGAAATAAATTGTAGATTTTACTAAAAAGGAATTGCTAACAAAAAAATTTTTTTATACACGCTAGAAGAAAATATGGAGCCCCTGGGTGGTGCAGGCATTCAATGTGCTCGGCTGCTATCAAAAGGTTGGAGGCTAATCAAAAGGTCCACCCAGAGATGCCTCAGAAGAAAGGCCTGGTGATCTACTTCTGAAAAATCTGTCATTGAAAACCCTATGGAGTACAGTTCTACTCTGACACATGAGCTGGAACTGACTTTATGGCAACTGTTAAGAAGAAATTTAAAAAAAAAAGAATATATTAAAATATCAAGGTCTTTCCCCCTCACAACCTCACATGCTGATCTTTACTCAATTAAATGGAAGTAAAAATAGTTTAAATTAATTTGAAATATTTAATGATTTCTATTTGATAAGCTACAGAAACACTCATTGGTAATTTCTAACTAAAAAGAAATAAAAATGATTTTTTTTTGCAGTAAGTATTAATAAATATAACTTATTATTTTTAGGACATGTCTAGGAAAAACAAACAAACAAACTTCTCTTCCTCTTAAAATTACTGAGGGAATGAGGGACGGAAAGCAAGAGATGACACCACCTTTTGAAGACACATTTTCATCACCCTTATCCTTTCTTCACTTTGTTTCCCAAAATATTTCTATACTTTATTTTAATTTCCCTAAACTATTTTCAGCTAGATTGCTAGAAGGATTGTTTAAGTACAATATAAATTTAACATTAAAGATGGAGAAACTTAAGGAATTCCATTTTTATTTTTATTTATTCAGTAAGATTTTAATGGCAAACTAGAACAAGATTTTACCTCCTTGATAACTGTTGGACATAATAGAATGTGTATCAAAGAACTCACATTTTCAGATTTCTAGATGTATTGGATAATATGCTATTCTGAAGCAAAACCTATACTGAGAAATTAAAATATTAATAACCACTATTCCAGTTATAAGCCGAATTATTTTGAGAAATTATCTTATTTCAATGTAGTAAAAAAAAAATTCTAGTAATTTTCTTTCACATCATTCATAAAACGTGGCTGAGGCTTTGAATATCATAACGTTAGGATGAAAGTGCAGGTAATTTTACTAAAAATGCTATAATTGGGCAAATATTTTATTGATATTATAATTGAGAATATAGTTAAAACTTTAAAATGGTAATCTCTTCTTCCCCTATGTCTGCGAAATAAATTAGACTCTTTAGAAAAAAATTCAAATTTGATATTATGAAGGCAAGATTAACTCTTACTTGTCAGATAAGTCATCTGTCATGAACCTATAAGGACCCAAAGTGTATTAAGTAGAAAGATGGTCTGTCAAGGGAGCTTCTCTATTGCAATATACTTAGCAAAAGTTAACAACTAAACCAAAGCATCTAACTCTCTCAAATTCTAAATTTAGTTCAAACACTAAAGGTCTGATCCACTTTTAAAGACATTAGCTTTATCTTTTAATAAACTGAACTAGTCTTTGAATGAAAGATCATAGATTTGTTAACGTATTTTGTACATTATTTACAAAGAAATGCAAAATCCTGCTGTCACTTGTCATTTGGGAATTTCTTAAGGAAAATAAAAGAAAATGGAAAAGATAATTTGATCTCTAACTCCCAAGAGGAGGTTAAGGGCCACATCTAAGAGTTAGCAAACAATGAGGAAAACATTTTTTGAGTTGGAAGATATCAGAGGGATCAGCTGGTCTAACCTACTCATTTTACAGATGAAAAAACTGAGATTCAAGTGTCTTGAACTAAGGCAAACAATTCTAGCTTTTCCATGTACTATAATTAAAGTCAGACTAACACAGTCTCCTGACTTCTGTCTCCATTTCTTCCCTCTGACCCACACTTTGTATACTAGTAAATCATCCTCCACTGATACAGTAAAAGGAAACAGTGATTACCTTCAGGGAAAGGAGTGACAATGAGGAAAACAAAAAAGAGGGTGGAGGGATAAACTGCTAGCACTCAAACAATTGTCATATATATTACTATTTAATTTGATAAGAAAAGTAATTTTTAAAGAAGATCAAACTTTGACATCAACAGGGCCACATTTCAAAGATCAGGAATACCATAGTCAAATTGAACGTTAGTACAGAAATTTAAGCTACATCTTCAAGGAAATGGCAGACCACTGAAAATTGTGCGTTTTGGTTTTTGTGCTCTCTTAACGACTAGTTCTATCTACTATGTTTCCCTCTACCGGAAAGTATTTTCTAATGTAATACATATGCAATCCAAAGTAATTTAGGTTCTCAATTTTAAAAAGAACCAGGGCTTTTAACTTAAACTACAAAAATATGTATTTATACTTACTCTCAAGTTATATATTTCCAAGCTCTGCAGTGATATAGAGGTCCAAATTTTCATAACACTGTTGAACTGCCTTCTTGTATCTTCTTAAACAGCTATTTCTATAGAGCAGATACATTTGCATAATTCTTTAACAGTTAAATCTATTCAAAAACTTGCTTTGATAGAAATATACAAATTTCAGTCAGAAAAGTGTAAAGGGGACCAAGACTTTCTTTTAGAAAAATATATTGTATATATGTTGAAAATTACAGAGACCATATGCTTTTATTTAATGTGAAGGCACAATTCTAACATAGTTAAAAGCAAATGTATTTTAACTGTTTATACTGTAATTTGCCAGTACCAGTTCATAAAAACATATATTTGCAAGCATATTATTGAAGATTCTCATAGATTGTGAATTCAAAAGTGGATTTTAAAAGTCGAACTCTGTGTAGAAAATGAATGACATGTTATTGCAGGTCCACATACTATCACTGCTGGATAGCCTGTTCACCAGGAACCACTTGGTTTTCTTCGTTTGTTGCATAGTCCAGATGATTCATCATCTAAACATAAATAAAAGATGTTAGGAAACACAAATTTCAACTTGCCCTCAGTATTCACTAATTTGACCAAAGAATTCCCAGTTTTTTTAAAAAGACAAAGAATGCTCCAGGATATGGTTAGGGTGACACTGAACCTTTTAGGAAGCCTAACCATGCAACTAAGAGCCAACTTGATACATGCTTTCTCTGGATCTCTCATCACCTCCAGTTCCCAGTACCAATACTGCCTTTGATGGGAGTGGAAACTCCACCATAAGAGGAAGATATTCCTGACCATTATTCCAGGCATAAAAATGTTTAGTTGTGAGTGTCCACTACAGAGGTGGAAAAATCAAAAATGGCCCCACAAGGCACTGTGAGAATATGTGCTAGCTCTCTGGGACAGTGTAACCTGGTTGACAGCTTGAACTGACCTTACGGATATAATTTAAGAATGATACGTGAAATCTTAGAAACATTATACGACATTTTACAAAAAACAAAAACAAAAATCTCCAAACTTAAAAATACTCACAGGTTAAATGGCATCTGAAAATAAAATCAAGAATTCATTTACTGAAAACTATTTTAGAGGAATTACCAGTTATATTTTTCTATAAATGGTCACTTTCAGCTCTGACCATATTCCCAACAAATTCTTTTTATATTCTGAAATAAGGAAGAAGAGACTACTCAATTACTTTTAGTGTCTTCACCTGTTCTTCGGATAAAATTACTTGAAAAAAAGTACTTAATGTTTTAGGAACTGTCAAAGATTTTTAGACTAGTGATTAAATTTGAACATTATGGTGCCCTTTTCTCCCCCTTCTTTATTGAGAATTGGAAGAAACAGAGACTAGCAAGATACATTCTCCTACTTTTGTAAACTAGTTCTAAAAGTTTAATTAAGTATTTTTTAGAGGAGAAGGAAGAGGAGGAATACTTTCCAAAAGGGGTCTCTCGACCTTGCCAGATAAGAATATAAGATGATCTGAGGCTTTCAGCTGACAACAGTCTCAGGTAACACAGACAGCTTACAAAACCCAAATATGCTAATACTTCATCAGTCACTCCAAACAATCAGTTTTGAGATCCTTTTCTTTTTTTCTTGCCAAAGATATCCCTACGTTAAGGTGCTTACATGTTGATAGCACTTCTAGGGTGAAAAAAGCCAATTCAAGACAGGTAACATTATATTTATTAAGTACTTCACCATATGAAACATAAGATGTCGTCGAACAGTTAATTTTAGTCACTGAATGAGGGAGGGAAAGGAAAAGCATGTAAAATATATTTAGGCTCCTTTTCTTCCAGCAGTTCAGAAGCTCTGGGTGAAAAGGGTGGGAGTTATGGGGAAGGAGAACTGAAGCAGCCTTGGCAGAATGAATAGGAAGGGGAAACCCTTTTTCTTCCCCAAGACCCACTTACACTGGCAACTGTAACCTAATGAAGTAATAGTCTACATACCATTAGTTATAACATGCCTCCTCTTTCCTGATCTCCAGCTACCTCACTGACACTATAATCTTATCCTTAAACATAAAATACATTAATTGAAAAAAAAACTTTCAAAGTCAATTTTTTGAGAAGTAAATATCTCTACCCCATATTTACTTTTTTTACTGACTCATCCATAAAAACAACATAGAAACATAAAAAAAAAACCTGAAATAAGTTTTTTATAATTTACTAAAACAAATTAACAAAGATAATAAAATGACTGTTTTTTCATTTGTAAAGAGGCAAGCTCAACTTGGAAAGATACCCTCTGAAATTGAGTCAGCTAACCCGGTACTGACTGACAGCCTTGCTTATTTGTAATTCAACCAATCCCCAGAAACAATCTAATAAAACACTCAGTAAGGGGGTAACTGGAGAGTTGTTGATACTAAAGCAGAGAAAGTCATTCTAAGAATCTCTGTATTTTAACTTGTCAGTTACAGCCCGTCACTTCTAAAAATAATTAGAAGCACTAGTGACATTTAACAGAGGCAAACCCACTATTTATGGCTATCAACAAACTGTAAACTTACTTCCCACCTACAGTAAAATAGCCCTGTGGAGATCGCTGCATAAATCTGATTAACTCCACTGATTTAGTATTAGAAAAGAAATACCCTCTACGAAGATTTTGCTCTCAATTGTTCTCTACGTCAAAGTAATTATGGTACTAGTTGATTTTTCTCTCTAGAGAAAATATTCCTTTATTTATTCTACACTTATTAGAACTTGGACTTTGTGAGTAAAACCAAATAAATGGAACTGAGTACTGTAGCTCTTGAAGCAGTCCAGGAAAAAACTTCATAAAAATATAGTACAACAGCTATGGGTGTGGAAAAATAACACAACTAAGATTTTTAAATTAGGATTATTTTCGTAAAATCCTATAGAAACTACTTCTTTTGATCAAAGAAGTTCATGGGAAGGGCTGAAAGATACCAAGTAAAGAAATAGTAAAGTAGTTCTATGAAGTTTCCAAGTTACGGTAACTGACAAAGTATGTAATTTATCATTTGGAAACAGCAGAAGACTTATCAGGACTTTTTAACATCTCCAGTGAAAAGTCCTGCTTTTTACCACTACCTATACTATACTTGCACTCAACTTTGGTAATATCAGACATAGGAATGAACCAAATGATTAACAGCATAAACAAATGTGTTATTACCTTAGAGTCTGAATTTACTTTACTTGTTTTGTATTTCATTATTTTGAAAAACAACAAAAACTTTTGGTCCTTACAAAAAATCATTGCATATAAAGATTGCAGAGATGAAAGTCTAGTCCAAAGTTGTAAAAGTGCCTCACTTTTACAACAGCATACAGATACAGACAATATAGGCATATATAACAACATATGGGTAATTTTACGACAGCTGCTGAAACACAATACACACAAAAAAGGGACTAAAGGCCAGTGGATTAAGAACTGAACATTATGTTGCTTTGCATGAACAATTTCACTAACACTAACTGAGGACTTATGGTGTGTAAAGCACTGTTCTAAGTACCGTGCCATCCTGAAGTATAGGAGCTAATAACTTGGGGGGGACATACATAAACACCTGTACTACAAGGCAGATGTCAATAATTATTTAAAGTACAAAGTGCTAAAGAAATAGGGGGAAAGGTGAACCTAATTTCAATAGGAGGGCTCCTGGAGATTTGCTTAAAGAAGGCAGATTTTCAGTTGAGAGTTAAACGGGATATAATGGAAACAGAGACTAGCAAAGCTCTGAAGCTGATGGAGGAAGGAAAAGAGAGGAAAAGAATTACAGTTAGTCTAAGTGATGGACCAGTAAATGCCTGAACGTTGCATTCAGGGCTGAGCCCATCCCTAGTCTGTCTCTGTCTTACCAGGTTTGTTAAGGATTCCCAATCTATTACCCAAGTCCGGGCCTAGCCTTACCAGATTTCAACACCCACCTACCTGAGCAAGCCTTGGGCTAACCCACCACTATGGATTATTTATTCTCCAACCAGCCAGTAGATCTAGCCTCATTTTACGGATGAGGAGAAAAAGTGTTAGGAGAAATTAATTTGCCAGAAGTGGTTCCAAAGCCTATAATATACTGATTCCCACAAATGACAACATTCAAGCTAAATTAATTTTGACTTTAAAAATCCATGAGAAATTTTCTTTCTCACATAAACAGGAAAATAATTTTGTGAAGGCTTTGTATTCTATAACTTTCAAAACTTTGTTTTCTGGAAAAAACAGGCTCTCTTCTGGCAGTAATTTAATCTTCAATATTTTGCAACTAACCCAAAACTTGAGTAACCCGTTGCTGTCGAGTCAATTCTGACTCCTAGTGACCCTATAGGGCAGAGCAGAATTGCCCCATAGGGTTTCCAAGGAGCGGCTGGTGGATTCAAACCACCTACCTTTTGGTTAGCAGCCGTAGCTGCACCACCAGGGCTCCATTTTGCAACTAGCTTGCCTAAAATTTCAGCAAATGTCCATTGTTCATATTTTAAATTCAGCGCACATGAGGGCAATGAGGAGTCTAACAGAAATTGTTATCTGAGGCTTGTGATGGCTATCAAATCCCTTTACAAATAAGGTAAGAGAACCAGATTTAACAAAGACTCAAAGTTCTAACATCCAAACCAGGAAAATGAGAATCTAGTTGATGAATTGAAAAATAACATCCAAACCAACAAATAAACCAAAACAAACTAACAAAAAACTCTGACTGCTATAAATAATAGTAAATACATGTACAGAGCTTGTGATGTGCCAGCCACTATTCTTTGCGTATGTTAACATATATAACCATCACAACAACCCTCTAAAGTAGGATGTTTATTATGCCATTTACTCTTTAGGAAACTGAGGCACCAAAAAGCTAAGTAACTTGCCCAAGGTCACATAGCTAGTAACTGACAAAATCAGAATTCAAACTCAGGCACTCTGGCACCAGACTCCATGCTCTTTATCACTGTATTGTTTTATATTCTAGATATCTTTATCTAATAAAATGGGGACACCACACTGCCAAAGTGAGGAGATGAGAACCAAAGTTGTCCTATCTTTTCAGATACTTTCAGTGGATTTTCCTACAGTCAACTGGCATACTGAGGTACCATGTCACATGGCGAAGCCCCTGGCATCTGCCTTTCAAGGGCTATTACTGCTCTGTGTCCAGCTACAGTGATCTTTCCCTTTCTTGGTAGCTGGTATGAAGCAGAATCATAATTTTTCCAAGATCACAATTTTAAGAATAAAACTTGGATGATCCAGGGCAGAGCACATGTTCCTAGGGACTATCAATGCACACCTTGGTTGAATCCCTTCCTTACCTACTGTCCCCTTTCTCCTCACTAAACATCATGGAGGGAAAAGGAGGAAAGGTGTTAGAATAAACAAGAGAGAAAAATGAACTGCAGCATCTTTCCAAAGAAACCCCAGTTATTACATTTAAGTATGTAACATCGCTAACTAAGTAGTTCTAGCATAAGTTGGCATAAAAAGATCTGGAAGCCACATACAAACTGTTCAAAGTAGCTGCTCCTTAAGGGTGGGTCTGGGCGGGGATACAATGGTTAGAAAAAGTCCTTCCATTTTTACTTTAGACACTTTTATACTGCTCAGTTAAAAAAAAGCAAACATGCATTACTTTGTAATTAGAACACAATAAAGAAAAATAATTAAAGCGGAAACAGGGTTAGGGTCTGTGTAAGGATTTTATTACTACATTAACTTCCAATAAGAACATGAACCTATACGTCATTCAAATAGAGCAAGGATAACTAGCAATACTGTAATGAACACCTTTTCACATCAACTATGCCCAGATTTTTAGGAATTTTCTGGACAATTCCTTGAAGACAAATTACTGTGTCAAAAGGAAACGGTAAAATATAGTACATGCACATGGGAGAATAATACACAACAATTAAAATTATTTTTGTATAGAATTTTAAATGAAATAGCAAAAAAAAAAAGGCAGTGAAAAAAGGAAGATAGAGAACTATTCAGAGTATGGCTCATCTACCCAGGAAGAAAGGCCTGGCAATCTGCTTCCATAAAGATTACAGCCAAGGACACCCTATGGAGCAGTTCTACTCTGTAACACATGGAGCTGCCATGAGTTGAGCCAACTTGATGGCAACGGGTTTGGTTTTTTTGTTTGTTTGTTTTTGTCATCCACCCACCTATTCACTTATCTAAAGAAGGCACGGAGGAAAATTCACCAAACCTTGACAGTGGATACCTCTAGGTGGTGGAATTATGGATGGACTTAATTTTCTTCTCAAATTTTTCTATATTTTCAAAACTGTCTACAACAAGCACATATTTTTATAATAAAAGTTACATTAAGGAAAAAGGAAATTATTGTTATAAATAAAAATGGAATGCTGGTGATGAAAATAACAAGAAAAATAATTCTGTAAGATAGCTCTAAACAATTACCAAATTTAAATTTTAACCTAAACAAAGATTTAATGCTAACCCTAAACAAAATTGCCTCTATGTTGCTTGTCTTCCTACTCCTGATCTATCTCACAATCAGTTAATCAGATTAAGTGCCTATAATAGCAGAAACCTCTTGTTCACAGTTCTGTCCTGAGTCTTTCCTTCCCCACCCCCACCCCCATATTCTCACACACTCATTCACTGAGTATGCTGGTACTATCAAACTTCTGTCTTTAGCTTAGGTTTGTTTCTTGTATATCAGACCCACTTATTAAACTGCGTATTATTGATCTCTTTCTGGTGCTACTCTGAAATGTCCAATATAGAACTCATGTCCAACATTTAACATGTACAACAATGAATCCACCATCTTTCTCCCAAACCTATTGGCCCTTTATCTCAGTAAATTGTATCACCATCCACCCATTCAATTAATTCCCCAATCCAAAAACTTTTCTTTGACTGTTTCCTTCTCCTCTCTCCACAATGAATCCATCAACTTCATTATGCTTCTATTGACTTTGTCCACTTCCCTCCGTCTCACTACTTTCCTAACTCAGGCTACTATTGTTTCTCATCATAATACATCCCTCCTTCAATCCATTTTCTAGATTTTTAAAAAACTCTTAAATGGTCACCAATGCTCTTAGGGTGGAGTCCAAACTCTTGAACATGGCTTACTAGACCCTATAGGATCCTTCTGTAGCTCCCCTAATCTTACTTAACACTGCAGTCATCCTAAACTTTATTTGATTCCTAGAATGTACCATGCTCTCTTTGTTCTGAGCCTTTGTACACATGGTTACTTCAACATGGAATACATGGCTCGGTCTTAAAATCTCAACATAAATGTAACATTTTTAAAGCAGCGTTTCCCAAATCGCCTATGACCCTGTCCTGAAACCATATGCACTGGAGGTCCCACCTCTAGCTTTCACGGCACTCTACCACAACTAATACATTTATCACACTTTACTGTTGTTGACTTTATCCGCACCCCCAACTAGACTCTTAACTTTCAAGAGGCCATGAGGGCAAGCCTGTTTCTAATTTGTTTATCTTGTATCACCAGCACCTAAAATAGCACCTGGCTCACAAAACTACTCAACAAACATTTGCTAAATGAAGAACTATAAAACCATTAAAAAAAAAATGATGAAGATTACTTTTGAGGAGGTGACTTTCAAAGGCCAGTAGTAAAGTGTCTGTTGCAGGACATACTTATTCTTAAAAAATCTATAAATATAAAAAAACTCTATTGGGGTATCACCTTCAAGGAAAAGTTAAAAGCTATCTCACTAGTTTAGTCAAGGATCTTGTGGTCATAAATGAATTCCATGTGTATTCATGTAAGTTGAGGCAACAACATTGTAAGGTAGGCAAGGAGGGTATTTTATCAAACCTCAAAGAATTGAAGAGATTTTCCCAAAAGAATTCTTGATCAGTGCTTTTTTCAATTATAGTAGTATGTCTAAATTAATGCATTAAGCACCTTTCACAAATAAAGATGACACTAGAAACCACTAGACAGACATGAACTTTGAACTGTTTATTTAATAACAGAATTGCAGTCATCCACCCAAAAAGTCTGTCTTTTTGTTCATGTGGTCACTGACATACATGCATGATGGTGGATGGAGGAGGCCAAGTTGTTGTAACAGGGCAAAGCAGAGCTAACTGCCTCAAAAAGGGGTCAATGTCATGGCCCTGACCTCAACAGGCTAGGATGTCCTAACCCTCCTTAATTCCAGTGCAAACAAACTTTACTGGAATACAAAGAACATTTAGGAGAAGAAGAGGGGTTTAACTTCAATGAAGAAACAACTCAAACACAACAGGTTACAGTATCAAGACTGTCTCTGTTCTAGGAATTTTAAAGGAAGGTCAATCTCGTCCAATTTAAATCTGAAATGAGAACCCTGACTAATTTAGTTAGGCCCATTTACATGCTAGACAGAGTATACTATTTTTTTTTTTTTAGTATTGTACTTTAGATGAAGGTTTACAGAACAAACTAGCTTCTCATTAAACAGTTAGCACAAATATTGTTTTGTGACATTGGTTATCAACCCCACAACATGTCAACAGACAGTATACTTTTTATCTGCAAAACTTTACTACTCTTACTATAAACAGCTGTCAGTCTCAACATTCAGTACTTATTTTAAACATAGAGTTTTTTATCTTTCATGAAGTCTACTTTTGTGTGGATTTTGAAAACTCAAGTTGAAATATTGTTTTCCCTGATGCTCTCACTTCTTGCTATCTCGAGGCACCAGGCTATTGGCATCAGATTTCGGTGGCGTGAGAACTGATGATGCAGCAGGTAAACAGTGGGTAAGGGGGTAGTAGTGGGAAAAACTTACGACATCCTGACAGATTTAAAGTAACTTTTTGACATATACATACATAAATATATATATATACATACACACATATATATACAACACATACATATATATACATACAGTTATACATACATGTATGTGTACATACAGTTCCCAGCCAAAGTTAGTCAGTGAATTACATCATAAAATAACTTTGTAACTGAAGCATAAGCCATACCTGATAGCTGCTACCTTTCCAGAACTTTTTCATTTCTTTACGTCTCCATGCAACAACTGAGGCAGTAATAAGAGTGCAAGGTACTAAGTACAGGAGAGCAGGTTGCCCCTTTTTCATCAACACCAGAACAACAAATGTAAGTATCATGCCAATAGCATAGGCTGAAAGAAGAACACCAAGTATTAGTCATTTCTACACACTACTGACAGTGGATATCCCCCCTTACTGAAGTACTGGTTTTTTCTCAGAATGTTGGAGCTGGAAGAGCCTTTGCAGATAATTTACTCTAGTCTTTCATTTTACAAATGAGGCAGTGAAGGCCTACAGCTAAGTAAATTACTCAAAGTTACACAGCAGAATTGATGAACACTCTTACCGTCTGCCTTCTTCTGAGTGTTCTTTTGTTCTGTCACACTGATAGGTACTGGACTCAAATAAGTTAATGCCCTTAGGGCATGCCATACTTAATATGCCTCACACCACTTTTCTTATTTCTTTATACTTTTTTTTTCTTCTCCTTCCCTCCTTTCTTTCTTTCATCCATCTGCTCCCTCACTTAGCTGTTCTTTCTTGCTGTCAGGGTACCTATTATTAGCACCATCCTTTGCTACTGTTAATAAATACTTTTACTTTAGGGGATTTAATTCCACTGTGGACTTGAAAAAACCTTGCTAGCTGATGCAGGCCATCTACCTAATATAAGAGCTTTGGTAAGTGAACTTTGCGATATCTATTCGATATATTCAGAAGTAGTAAGAGTATTTTTTGACTTGCTTCCTGTTCTTAACTCTGTTCTCAATAACAGAAATAGATGGATAAATAGCAACTACTTCTGCTGGTCCAGGTAAGTGAGGTGTTACTACACCAAAAATTCATTTATACAAATACTTAGCTATCTGTAAACTATTTTTTAAAATCTAGTATTATACAATTTATTGACTATTTATATGTGCCAGGTGTTCCAATAAGCATTTTATGTAGAAGATCTAATCTTTTTCTTTCACACCTAATTTCCTTTTTAAACCTCTAAAACCTTGTGACAAAGGTAGTATAATTACCCCTTTTGATGAAAAAAATTGGTCTTATTATTTAATCGCAAAGAATTAGAATTCAGGATTCTTTATTTTTAGACCTCTATCTTTTTAACGGGTTTTTTAACAGGTTTTATCTTTTCCTTCAGACAACATAATTTAATATAATATACAGAAAAAACAAAAATTTACCAATTGTAGAGGAAACATAGTATACAGAAGAACCAGCTTGAATATCAAATCTTCTACAGTACGCAACCAACAGGCCTAAAAAATACTCCACATTATTTTCTTAAAACAACAGCAATAAAAACTCAACTGTTAGCTCTGGCAACAATATATACTATACTGTATTTAACTTTCATTTTTGCGTTATGAGAATACTAAATATCCTTGAATTCTAAACAAGGTTTTACATGCAGATTTTTCACTTACTACCATATTTTAAAAATTTTCCCAAGTCACTAAACAGTCTTTAAAAACATGACAATATTCCATGTCACGAAGGACACTTTTTTAATGTATCATTGAAAAATGCATTGAAGGGGCATCAAGGAAGGCAATTTCACGTTGTGATCAAAGATGTTTCCCTTCCTAGCACAACAAAATGGTATGACGTTTTAATACAAAGAGTTTAAATAAAAATGAAATGTAAGTTCTTGTTTGTAGACACATAGGTATGCAGAGACAACCATTTTATTACCTATTTCTTATAAGAAATTTGTTGAACCACTCCAAAGAAAAAATCACAGAACTGTATTTATTAAATAAATACTATTATAAAACAGTAAGAATGACATTTAACCCCTTAAAATTTTATTTCTTAAAATCTTTTTTAAAATCATAAAATAATTTTACTATCTTTATAACCTTCTGAATTAATTAGTTTGGGGGCCTACATAATTAATAAGTTCCTTGATAGTTCCTTGTTATTACTATAGTCACTGTCTAATAACATTTGCACGTTAAAAAAAAACGGTACTTTTTTTCCCCAACTTAGAATTTAGCTTTTAGAATTAAGTCATGGATTATCAAAAACTCTGCTCTTTGTGGAAATGTTTTTGTTTGAGACCTTTGACCTTTGAATGTGGTGTATGTATTCACCCACTCCTCACTTATCTATGTGGTTAGGTTCCAAAGACCAGGTCCTTATGTGAAAATCAGCATTATGCAAAATGGAAGATGTCCACATCAGATCACAAAATGGAGGATGACTAACTACATCGTGACATAACTTCCGAATTACCTCATTACATAACTGCCAAACCAGTGAAAATCATGGCCTAGTCAAGTTACCACATAACCTTAACCATCACAGCCAGCATTATTCTTGCCTAGCACCTCAGCGTTTGTTATTACCAGAGGTACGTTGTTAACGTGCAAAATAGCCGGATAGTAGATTTTTCACTATTATAAATGCAAAATGTTAGATAACAAGACAGTTGATAAGTGAGGAGTCACAAAAAAAAAAAAGAAAGACAAAAACTAAATCCATTGCCATGAATTCTGACTCGCTGCGACCCTATAGGACAGAATAACACTGTCCTCCCTATAGGGTTTCCAAAGGAGCAGCTGGTGGATTCAAACCACCGACCTTTTGGTTAGCAGCCGAGCTCTTAACCACTGTGCCACAAGAGCTCCACAAGTGAGGAGTAGCTATATTATTTTTACCAATTCTATGTCAAGTTCTGTATTACTCATTGCCATCGAGTCGATTCTGACTCACAGTGACCCTATATATGATTTTATATAGCACTTGGAGTAGAACTAGTAAAATCAGGAATAAATGTAAAGATATAGATATTCAAGGAACCTTAAGATGTACACAATAGAATGTTTTCCCTACATTATCAATTACGTGAATGGAGACTGACTGAGTTAAGAGAGTTGGACTTTGTGATGCCAACTCAAGGGAACACTGCTCACTCGCTCTGTTGGCTTTACTAGGTATATGAAAGGGCTTTTACAGAAGAGACAGTATTCTTCATCCATCCACAGGCAGTAAGTACACAGGGAGACTGTAAGAAGCAGGGAAAGACAAACTCTCAGCTGACAGAGAGTTTGTTAATTGCTGCTAAACTATCCCTGGGCTAGGATTAACTTTATTCTACAGGCAGCCAAGTGAGGAAATAATGCAGAACTGCAACAGTTGTCAGAAAAGACATGCTAGAAGAAGGTGATCAAGTCCACCGTAAGCTTCATCTTTTTATATTATGGAGCCCTACAAGTTGGTGTTCTACTATGTTTTTCTTCCTGATCATGACTTTGCCTAGCATTCCTAAACCAAGCATTTCCTAAAACACAACTATACTTTAAAACAGAAGTACAGAAACTATAATTTGTTTGGCATTATTAAATTCAGCTTTTAAAAAGGGTCACAAAATGTATTTTCTTGGGGAAGAAGGTTCAACCGATTCTATCTGCTTCTTCCAAGACAATTTCTGAGCCATGGGAGATATATTTTGGTTGTTACCACTTGGGCCTTATCTTCTACCTCTGAAAATGCTTTTTTTCTCTTTATCACTGATTGCAGCTCTAACACTGGTCAGAAATACTTAATACAGATTGTTGTTAGGGGCCGTCGAGTCGGTTCTGACTGATAGTGATCCTATGTGTGACAGAGTAGAACTGCCCCACAGGGTTTTCTTGGCTGTAACAGTCTTTTCGGAAGGAGATCTCCAGGTCTTTCTCCAGCAGAGCCGCTGAGTGGGTTCAGACTGCCGATCTTTCAGTTAGCAGGCAAGCAAGCACTTAAACTTTTGCGTCAACAGGGCTCCTTAATACAAATTCACTAATTTTTAATAGATATTATATATATGATGATTTTTAACCATCAGTATATTTTTACTGAAATTGTTATAAACAATTACTTACCTGGTACAATAATGTCACCAAAACCCAATATTGAAACTGGCATGAGGCACACACTCATTACTGAGAAATAGATCAGCTTTGGTACCCTGATGACTACAGGTAACTGAAAAAAAAAAAAAAGCTACCATTACGCCTCTTAGGGTTCTTTACCCGTATCTTTTAGAAAGGGAAGGATTGACATCAAGATAATTGTCTTAATAATTTTAAATTGACATTTTAAAAGAATTTAAAATCAGAAGATATAAACTAGACATATTTACATACTCTGAATGTACAGAAAACTTGAAAGAAACAAATATGTGGTTTTGGAAAAATGAGACAACACACATGTAGGATTAACAGTATTAATCCAGTATTCCCATATCTAACCTTTTAATTTTTTTTTTCTTAAGCCAAGAATACGATTTAGGCCTTGAAACAGATTTTTTTTGGCAATCTGGATTTTCTTCCCCTAAAGAATCTTGTCTCAAGAGGGTGCGATTTAAAGTCCAATGAACATATCTGAAATACAATCCTTACTTTCTCATGGGGAGCTGAGGGTTGAGCAGTGGCTTCCACCAAGTTTCCATCATTCTAGGATGAAACCCAAGTCAATAGGTATTTAATAATTTAGAATAACTAAGAAAAGGGCTATATTTTGTGAGAAATAAAGTTTTACAATACCTTAACATGCACTACATACCAAATGAATTACATGGGAAGGCAAATTATTAACTGGACTCACATACATACACTGAGCAGCCAATTCTATTTAATCACCATCCCTACCTTTTCATTATTTCCAAAAGGTCCAGCTGCAAGTTCAACCATGATACTCTCGCCATTCTAAAATTAAGAAGGAAGATGAAAGAAGTTGTCCAATCATTTAAAAGGAACAGTCTGCCAAAGCACTATGGCACAGGACATACTGTAAACTGATTGAAAATAGGCCAGAAACCCACTGCCGTCTAGTGGATTCTGACTCACAACGACCCTATAGGACAGAGCAGGGTTTCCAATGCTGAAAATCTTTACGGAAGCAGATTGCCACATCTTTCCCCAATGAGCGGCTGCTGGGTTCGAACCGCTGACCTTTCTGTTAGCAATCGAGCATTTCAATCTCTGCATCACCAAGGCTCCTTAAAATGGGCTACAGCCTCCTTTTCTCCTAAAACAGTCTCTGCAGATAGCAAAAATTGAAGTTATCTAAAACCAAATTCACCTAGCACACCGCTCACTTCATCAGAATTCAAGAATTACCAGAAACTGACTGATAAATCATGCACAAATTAGTCAAGCGAACCTTTGAGCACTGATTTGTACTGACACAATATAATATCTAACATTTGTAATAGTCTATAATTCTAAGCGTTTTTAGTGACATTATGTCATATACTAAGGTTCTAAGTCATTTTCAGCAGTAACATTGAATAGGCACACGAGAAACACTAAAATATTTTATATTTAGCTTTGTAATAAATATTGCTAACTTTATTTGAATAAATATACAATTGACATTCTAGCTATTCACCAAAATAACAAAGCAATAAAGCTGAAGTTGAAAAGATCCAACTCTTAACGAAACAGAGAAGCTTCTCTACACCGACTCTGTCCAATTTCAACCCTGCCTGCTTTCTATGATCCAATCAAAAGATTAGCCTTAACTGAATTTCCCTCCCTGTGTCTGACTAAAGTTTTTTATGTGGGCTTTGTGAGTTCATTAAAAAGTTCCTTCCTGACAGCCAAGTCTGTTATGGAAAGGGGGAACATTTTGAGGTAGCAAGCTAAGGTTGCATGAAGCACCCAATTTATGCTTTATTTTATGATAAATATTTCAGCAAAAACAGATAGTAAGAAGATATACAAATGCTGAATTTTAGGAAAATGTCATTGACTGATTATAATATTTTCAATGTGAGTGGGGTGTATAAGAGAAATTGTTTGAGTGTTTTTAAAAGAATCTCACTGATAACCTGAGCCAAGTAGGGAGTTAAAATCCCTAGCTACAGAGATCTTTCCCTCATGTTAAGCCTCTGGGTTGCAGGAGGGTTAAGTCAAGGAGTTTAAGAAAATAAACTAATACTAAAAACAGTTCCTTAAAACAAATTCCTAGGTTGTGATCAAATTTCCAGATACAGAGTAAACTTTGGTTCATTTAAATGTTCATTTAGAACATTTAACTGAGGATCATCATTGTCATCCTCTCATACGTTCGAAACTATCTGATTAACTATTATTTTCAATATTTATTACAAAGCTGGATGACAAAAAATGACTAAGATAGGTTCTCACTGCCCATACTCCTAGGCCTGCCTGCCCAGCCAACTCACTAGAAGTCCACTAATACCTGGGTCAAGTACATATTTAGAACATCCAATATTTAATACTTCAAAATTACAATTAACACCACAGAGTCAGAAATTAAATATGAGTTTCATTTTGAGTTGCTTACTAAAGTGAGATCTATAGCCTTAATACAAACAAGTCAGCTGAGAAGAAGGTGTAAAAGTCTGCCAACAGTAAACTCCAAAGAGCACTTCAGTCTTTCCCACCACATCAGATTGCTAGAAATTACATTCCTAGTCAACTGGAACTAAGATGGGAAAGAGATGAAAAATTCCTAAGCACAGAATAAGAAAGAAGTCTTAATGATACCTTTACGACTACCTTGTGCCTTTCAAATTCTGAACCTTCTTATGAATAGACAGTAGAAATATTTTGCTTGTAGACATGTTTGACATTTATGAAGTGATAAATGGCCGATCCCACCGTGAATGGGGTCACCATGAGGTGGGGGTCAACTTGATGGCAGCTAACAACAACATACTGCTCAAAGAAGCCAATGAGTCAAATGGCTCATCGTTAGAGCACGGGCACATACTAGTACAACAGTGTTGTTGTTGTTAGCTGCTATGCAGTTGGCCCCTGACTCATGGTGACCCCTTGCACAACAGAATGAAATGCTGCCTGGTCCTGTGCCATCCCCATGATTGGCTGCAGCTTGGACCGTTGTGATCCACAGGGTTTTCACTGGCTGATTTTACTCTGCTGAAACCTGTTCAGCATCACAGCAACACCCAAGCCTCCACTGACAGACAGGTGGTGGATATACATCAGATGCACTGGCCAGAAATCAAATCTGAGTCTCTCACATAGAAGGTGAGTAATTTGGTGAAGTAAAGTAAAACGTGGAAGGCAAGTAAAACAGTGTAGGTAGCTGTAATTTGATATAATTAAGTACAGTAAAATCTGTGAAAGCTGGAACCTGTGTAAGGCGGAAGGAAACCTGTTAAGAGAGGGAAAACTCAAATTTTTTTTACTTAACCAAGCAACAGAAAAGTGGTAAGACTGCACCCTGTCAAAGGCATAAAACATGAGAGACCCAAAAATACAAGGTAGTTTTGTTCGAGTTCCGGCTACCTATTTGTAATTTTTCAGTCCTTGGGTGATGCAAATGGAGTCTTAGTCATCTAGTGCCTGCTATAATAGAAATATCACAACTGGATGGCATTAACAAAGAGATATTTATTCTTTCACAGTCTAGTAGGCTAACAGTCCAAATTCAGGGCACCAGCTTCAGGGGAAGGCTCTCTCTCTGTTGGCTCTGGACGAAGATCCTTGTCATCAATCTTTCCTTGGTCTAGGAGCTTCTCCACACAGGAACCTTGGGTCCAAGGGATGTGCTCTACTCCCGGGATGCTTTCTTGGTGGTATGAGGTCCCCGTCTCTCTGCTTGCTTCTCTCTTTTATATCTCAAAAAAGATTGGCTTAAGACACTATCTAATCTTGTATATCTCATCAATATAACTGCCGCTAATCCATCTCATTAACATCATAGTGATAGGATTTACAACACATAGGGAAAATGCATCAGATGACAAAACGGTAGACAATCATATAACACTGGGAATTATGACCTAGCCAAGCTGACAAATATTTTTGAGGGACGTAATTTAATCCATGACAAACGGTTAATGCACTAAACTGCTAACCAAAAGGTTGCAGGTGCAAGTCCACGCAGACGCACCTTGGAAGAAGAGCCTAGCGATCTACTTCTGAAAAATCAGCACTGAAAACCTTATGGAACACAGTTCTACTCTAACATAAATGGGGTCATCATGAGTCAGAATCAACTTGACATCAACTGACATCTTTTTTATTTACAATTTTAGTTCTCAACCGGGCAAATGTTTGTCTTATGCCATTATAGCAAATATCAGAAGTGCAGATTTTTATAATAACTTCGTATGTTTAGGGTCTAAATAAAAGATAAAGAATTAATGGGAAGAAAAGTAGTGATTATATCAAATACTAAATATGTGAGAGTGACAAAGGATTAAGTTACAAAGCAAGACTCAAAATAAAATGGAGTAAGTGGGAGAATTAAGCAATAATTAATAACATATTCACGAGACAAGAATAGGAACAAGGTAGAAAAATTGGGCAAATAATGAAGGTACACCAAACCAACAACCACCCCTTATTCTGGGAATTGCACCACCATTTTATTGAGGCACTAGTGGCAGAGCTGGGAATATATGACCTGTGAACTGCCAAAAGGTGTAATTCCAAACTTGTGGAATATGCCAGTCTTAAAGAATGAAGAAATTAACAGAAGCAGAAAGGGAATGTATATGCAGCTTGGACAAGTTTCTTCTGACACAGTCTGGATATATGAGGGGTGGGTTCTGTTTGCTGCAACCGAAAGAATGCTACTGGGGGTGGGGGGCAAGAGGAGAGGGAAGACAGCTGGAATGCTAGCAATAGTCCCTCACACAATGGATTAGCAAACACAAGCACAAAGGGCTAAGGGAGTTGCCCAGGTTACAAGGTTACAGAGCTATCCTCCAGCCTTCCGACTTGAGTGTGGTACTCTTTTCTTAGTCTTAAACTAGGCCTACAAAAATGAAAGTAGCAATGATACATTTTTCTTTTTTTTGCTGTCTATACTGTTTATATACAGTAAACTTTTATTACTTTATAATAAGACAGGTTACTTAATTTTAAAAGGGTAGGAAATAAAATTGCAGACATCCTCATGTTTACATCTGTCAGGAGGCATTTTTTAGCTAACAAAATGGCTTAAAGTCTTGAAAAAAATATAAAAGGCCAATTTCTACTATGCAATGATAAAGAACAATGGTGAATCTGCGAAATATCTCACAACATGGATGAATCTGGAGGGCATTATGCTGAGTGAATATTTGTCCAATCCCAGAAGGACAAATATTATGTGAGACCACTATTATAAAAACCCAAGAAAAGGTTTACATACAGAAAAAAACAATCTTTGATGGTTACAAGGGAGAGGAGGGGTGAGGAGGGGAAATCATTAACTAGATAGTAGACAATTTAACTTTGGTGAAGGGAAAGACACACAATAGAGGGGAAGGCAGCACAACTTGATCAAGGCAAAGTCATAGAAGCTTTCTAGATACATCCAAACACCTTGAAGGACTGAGTTGCTGGGGCTGAGGACTGGAGACCACACTCTTGGGGGACATCTAGGTCAACTGGCATAACATAGGCCATAAAGAAAATGTTCTACATCCTACTTTGGTGAGTAGCATCTGGAGTCTTAAAGGCTTGCAGGCAGCCATCTAAAATACATCTATTGGTCTCAACATGTTTCGAGCAAAGAACTAAGAAAACCAAGAACACAAGGGAAATAGTAGTCCAAGGAACTAATGGACCACATGAATCACAGCCTCCATGAGTCTGAGCCCAGAAGAACAAGACGGTGCCCACCTACCACCAACCACTCTGACAGAGCACACAACAGGCGATCCTGACAGAGCAGGAGAAAAATGTAGAACAAAATTCAAATTCACAAAAAAAGACCAGACTTACTGGTCTGACAGAGACTGGAGGAACACCCGAGACTATGGTCATCAGACACCCTTCTAACTCAGAACTGAAGCCACTCCCGAAGTCCACCTTTCAGCCAAAGATTAGACAGGCCTATAAGACAAACAATAACACATATGAGGAACATGCTTCTTAGTTCAATCAAGCATAGGAGACCAAACGGGCAACACCTGCCCAGAAGCAAAGATGAGAAGGCAGAAGGGACAGGAAAACTAGATGGCTGGACATGGAGAACCCAGGGTGAAAAGGGAAAGAGGAAGAGTGCTGACACATTGCGAGGATTGCAATCAATATCACAAAACAATTTGTGTATAAACTTTTGAATAAAAAACAAATTTGCTCTGTAAACTTTCACCTAAAACACATTTAAAAAAAAAAAGTGCCGATTTCAACAAGTCTCTTAAGAGAATTAGACCTCACTCAATGGTAAACATTTGCAAAACCAATAATCTAAGAGCAGGTTTAAGATTCTCATCTTTTAGCATGTTTCTTCACAAATTTCAAAAATATAGTCATACCTTTGTGATGAATGGTGTTATGAATACAAAAAATACATCATAGAGGAGAAGAAGGCCTAGAAGTATCACACATGACTGTTGAAGAAAGAAATTTAAAGGTCAAACTTCTTGTATCTAAATTAAGAGATTATATTATTTTGCAAGTACAAACATATGAACATACATTTGAATACTATTTTTTAAAAAGATATTTTGTGGTTACTATTTGTAGTTTTATTCTGTACACTACATTAAAACTCTTTTTTATTCCACTTGTTTAAAAAAAGTCACTAAAATAAAATGCTCTTTCCCTGACATTTCATTCTGCAAGGATTTAATGAATTTGTCATATTATACAAATAACTAAGAATATTTTAGTCAGCAGATCAGTGGTTGCCTGGGGCGGGGGCAGGGACTGGAATTCACTGAAGTACGTAACAGCTTTCTGAAATGATGAGAAATGTTCTATAACTTGATTGGGAAAGTGGTTACATAGTTACACATTTCTAAAATATCAACAAACCGTACATATAAAATGGGTGTATTTTATTATATGTAAATTATACCTTAATAAAGTTAATTTAAAAAGAAAAAATATTTTAGCTTGCGAAGCAGTATACTCTACCTTGAAGTTGGGTAACTTCAGTGTTTTAATTAAATTCAGACAGAAAGCAATCCCCAAGATATCCTGTAAAATCCAAGCCCACCTAAAATCAAAAGATAATTATACTACATCGTTTTATCCAGTTATTTTTTGATGAAACTTTTTACAAGAAATAGATCACTAAAGTAATACTGTTCTATTTCTATGATTTGACTATTCAATTATTAAATAGCAGCAACAAAAAAATCCCTTATATTCTCCATATTTAGTAATTTACAGCCCTAGTAGAATAATGAATATTACTTTACCAAGAAGCTGAAGGTTACCTTGGACGAACACATAAATCAGAGAAACATAAATGCATATCTATCTTTGAACTTATACATATGTCTCTTTCTAGAAAGGTAGCTCATAACAATGGATATTGGTGTTAATATAAGCCCAGAAAGCTAAAACATAAAGGAAATAGAGGTATGCAATTCACTCTATCAGAAACTGATATGCATAAATTATCAGCTGATAATCATAACTGAGGCTGCCTAAAACGGTCTTATGCCATCATAGCAAATATCAGAAGTGCTCTCCAAATTTTAGGCAATTAAATCTTGCAGTGTTTAATAATTTTATTAATAAGCCATTAAATAAACATAAGCATATTTTTTTCTGGTTATCCTTTCTGCAAATAGGCAGATAACTGTACACTGTCTTACATCCCCTTCTCTCTCACATGAAAGAGGGTAGTAGCATATTCTAGGTATTCTTTTACACTTTGCTTAACAGCATTTCCTGGAAATCACTGCCTTTCAGTTCACAGAGATCTTCTTTCTTTTTTACAGCTGTATCATAAGTCATTGTGTGGCTGTACTATAATTAAATACATTTTTGAAGTCTATTGCAACTTATTTCCTTTTCTAAACGAGCTCAAACCCACTAGCACAAAATCTGTTTATTTAAAAAGTAGCTTATTTCAAGATTGATATTCTGGGATAAAAGCAAAACAAACAAACAAAAAACATAATAGAGCAAGATATAATAGCAAAAATATTAAAATATTCATACCTATCTTCGTTTCGAAACACAGCCCAAACAACAGCTATTGCTATGCATAGTCCAGAGAGAAAAATAAGTCTTACTTCAACGCTTTTGCCACGACACACAATCCTGAAAAACAAATTATGATGTTCATTCGATATGAGAAGAGGCAAACACTAACCACAGTCACAAGAAAGCTACTGAAATACCAATTTAAAACTCTTGATTTTAAATAAAACAAATGATGTGCATACTAAAATGTTTCTCAGTTTCAACAGAAATTTCAGTGATGATGAAAATGTTCTTCATCATTGCTGTCCAATGTAGTAATCACTAGCCACATATGACTACTGAGCACCTGAAATGTGGCTAATGAAACTTAGGAATGAAATTTTAAATTTTATTTAATTTAAATTTAGATATCCACATCTATGATGGACCATGCAGGTTTAAACGCTTCTATTTTTCCTTATATTGTTTTAAATTACAAATATCAACAGTCTAGGATTCCCTATAAGAGATACATACTTGCATTGTCCATATGGTATCTTATGAATTAATGCAGCAAGACAGTTGTACAGACTTGTTGCTGATGCTATGCAGAAAACTGCTATCATAACATAAACTAGAAAAAAAAAGATTAAATTATGAGAACAGAAGGAAATGTAACAAGAAAATACTTGCACAAGCAATATTAACTCTTCAGCTTTCTTACTGAATCATGATACTTTCAATGCAGTGACTATACTGTAATCTGAACTGTTAACTGGGCTGAAAATATTTAGATCTTGAGTTTTAAGAGCGGGTATTTTATGTGTTGTTTTAGGTTCACTGTACATTGGTAGGATTGTTTTAGGCTTTACTGTTCAATGAGTCAAACTGACATGTTTGTTACAGATTTCTACGAAGAGAACTGCAGACATTTGAGAATATTTAATTTATATGTAAGGAGTGGAAGAATTAATAAATCACTAAGAAAGCTACTGAAACACCAATTTAAAAGTCTTGATTTTCAGTAAGACAAGTGATGCATACTAATATGTTTATCGGTTTCAATAAAACTTTTAGTGATGATGAAAATGTTCTGTATCTGTGCTGTTCAACACATTAGTCACTATTTAAAAATGCAGTTTAAGGATGAGAATTGATGCTACCTTGAACACTAATCACGTATATGGGATCAAACTGAAAACAGCAACTCAAAAGATTAGACAGGAATCTTAGGTGGCAATGAGTTTCTGTTAATAGGGGAGGAGAATGGTTGTACAACTCGAAGAACGTAATCAGGGTCATTCATTTGTACATGTAGAAACTTGAATTGGTGTATATGTTTTTTGCCGTGTATATTCTCAATAACAATAAAATACATTATTAAAAAAAAAAACACTAGTCACACTATCCATATCTTCCTATGGTGGAATTTTATCTATAATAACTTGACCTGTGGTAAAGCTAAATCCATTTAAGCACACCTCTTTGTTTTGATACGATACTCAGGCAGTTAAAATCGACAAGCGTTTTTCTATATTATCTATACCTATTTGAGAATTATTTAAAAGTAAAAATGTGACATCTTTGCTATTTAAAAGGAGATAAATCATTGTATTCAAAATTTCACAATGGAAATATAAATTTTACCTGAATTTTTCAAATTCTACTAAACTTCAGAAACTCTGGTTTTGTTTTATAGATGAGAAAGGGATAATAATCTAGAGGCACTAAGTCAAGGGCAGTCATTTTTTAACTGATCACCTTGGACAAATTACTTTTTTAGTCCCTCAAGTACCTCATCTTTAAAATGTAAAATGTAATAATCTCAGGATTTATTTGAGGATTATTGTGAGGACTGGATGCAAAGTTAATATATGCAAAGTGCTCAGAACAATACCTGGCACGTAATAAGCTTTAAAAAAAAAAAACTTGCTGCCGTCGAGTCAATTTTGACTCATAACGACCCTACAGGACAGTGTAGAACTGCCCCAATAGCGTTTCCAAGGAGCGCCTGGTAGATTCAAACTGCCAACATTTTTGTTAGCAGACGTAGCTCTTAACCACTATGCCACCAGGGAAGTTATCTTTATTACTGGAGGTATCTGTATATGGTAACATGAGTAGCCAGTAGTCAACGATTGCCAGTAAGTCATCCACCAAAGCTGTCCAGCCCAAGTTTTAAAATACTGGTGGAAATCATGCTCTTGAGACCCTAATAGAGTTTCAGGTGTCTCATTCAATGTCATATTGTATCTAAGAAAATGATCAGACGTGGGAAAGAACCTGATTACTATAACTCATCTTTAGTTACTTTCCTGAGTGTGATTTAATCATAAATGGGAAAGGGGAACCTTAGCAATCTAGTACCACCCCCTTATTTAATCTACTAAGAAATGGCAGCCATTTCAGCCATAGGGAACCATTCAGAAGTCAATTAAATCTTGCAACGTCACACAAGTCATTGCCAGTGTCATAAATTCCACGTCTTTGGATACCATGAGGCTCAATGATCCTCCTCCTACACCAAAAATTACATTTCTAAACAACTATCAACTTTTTTAATAGTGATGAGTTTAAGGAAATTTCTTGCCAAAAATTAAAACACATTTTAGGGCAGGGTAGAGAACTCTCTTTTTTCTATCAAAGATCACTGATATGTCAACTGAGGGTCAGACACAAACAACTGAAGTAGTATTGAGTATTAGAGAAATCAGCTGCTCAGGGCCAACATGACACAAGTATCAGCCTAGTTTCCACTCTCCCAGCAACAGATTGAATATGAGTTATATTCACAGAATGTTTTAAAAATTAGACGCATATATATCATAGATCTTGATTTTTAAATTCCTGCCACAGGACAGAAGTAAATAAGCTGAAACTAACTCTAGGGCTTCAGTTTTATAATCCAGAAATTTATGACAATGTCTCCAAACACAAGAGTTGCAGACTTTGGTGGTTTTACAAAGGATTTTTTGTTAGTTCTCATCAGGCACACTCCTTTCTCCCCTGTTCTCTTTCCACTCTGTGCTGTACACTGGCTAGGGATGGCAAATTTTCATCCTGTTAGACCATTAGGAAGATTATTCAGGGAATGGGCAAGTCAACAGCGTTCTTACGCCTGACTTCATAAAGGAGAAAAACTAAAGTTACTATCTAGGCCACAAGCAAGTACTTGTGTTTCTTCAGATGTAGTATGATCCTTACAGCTTGTACAAGTAAAGCAAAATTCAAGCAATATAACATTTTGATTTGCAAACTGACAAGAGGAGATACTACACTTTAGGGGTAAGCATAGGCAACATACCAACAACGTGTATAATCTATTTCATGTAACTAACTGTAACCACCACCAAGTCTTTAGTCCATTACTTAGACACTGAGCTATCAATTCTTTATCTGCAGAGAAGGAAACTTAAGAACCATACTAATTTCTTTCAAGTCATCCACAAAGAAGTGTTCTTATCTCAAGACAGAGTATGTTTTTTATTTGAATATTTTTTATCCCAGGGTAATAGAGACCTAACATTTTTGACAATTTAAAAAGGGAACATTAACCAAGTTATTTAGTTAAGTTTTCCAGTTAGAATGACTTAAAAGAAAAGATAAATGTAGCAAAGTAAATGAAAAGAATGTATGCTAAAAGTAGAAAACATAAAATAGGATTTCTTACCCAACCATTTGTAGAAGAAATAAAGTAAGACCATCATAACACAGCAGATGACCACAAATATTACAACTGTAAGAGGACTAAAAGTTAAATACTCTTCCTTCTTTTTCATTTCTCTATCTTCAGTGTTTGTCACTGCTTTCAAGTTTTCCCTGCATAAACACACACAGGAACTTTAGCAAATCTCTGCCATGCATGGTTATTTTAAAAATTTATCTCTAACACCAATTTAAATTTGTTTTTGATTACAAAAGTAATGTATTTAAAAAAACTGCACATAGGAAAAACCAGAGACCCTATAGGGCAGAGCAGAACTGCCCCATAGTTTCCATGCAGTGGGTGGTGGATTCGAACTGCTGACCTTTTGGTTAGCAGCCGGGCTCGTAGCCACTACACCACCAGAGCTCCGCACACAGGAAAGAAATATTTAATCTAGAAAGTGAAAACCCCTATAATTCTACCCTCCAGAGATAATCCATTATTAACCACGAACTTTTTTTTTTAAATTGTACTTTATGTGAAAGTTTACAGAGCGAATTAGTTTCTCATTCAAAAATTTACATACTAATTGTTTCATGACATTGGTTAACCACTAACTTTTGAAAGAGCATTTTTTCTGAAAAGCTAAACTGTTGAAACAGTTTAATTTAACATAAACAAATTAATGTTCGTGGAAGTTCATATTATCTAATTCGGAAACTATTTACCCTGATGTGATAAATTTCAAATCATAAAACCAATTCTTTTTATACACTTAGCATTAATAATTTGGAGCCCTGGTAATGGAGTGGTTAAGAGCTCGGCTGCTAACCAAAAGGTCAGCAGTTCAAGTCCACCAGCTGCTCCCTGGAAACCCTATGGGGCAGTTCTACTCTGTCCTATAGGGTCGCTATAAGTTGGAATTGACTTGACAGCAACAGGTTTATTGTCAATTTACAAATAAACCAAACCCACTGTCGACGAGTCAATTCCGACCCCCAGCAACAACCGTACAGGACAGAGTAGAACTGCTCCACAGGGTTTCTGAGGCTATAAATCTTTATGGAAGCAGACTGCCGCATCTTTGTCTTCCTGAGCAGCTGATGGGTTCGAACCGTTGACCTTTCGGTTAGCAGCCAAGTGCTTTAACCACTGTGCCACCAAAACAAACAAAAAAAAAAACCCAAACCCATTGTGACTGAGTCAATTCTGACTTATAGCAACCCTACAGCACTGAGTAGAACTGCCCCATAAGGTTTCCAGGGAGCAGCTGGTGGATTCCAACTGCTGACCTTCTGGTTAGCAGCCAAGCTCTGAACCACTGTGCCACCAGAGCTCCTTAATTTATAAGTAATACTTTAAAAATCAGCTTCTCTTAAATGTAAACACTAAATTCTATCAGTCAGCTCAGTCTGTACTACCTGCCTACTCTGTGCTCATCAACGTGTTAAGAAGGATTCAGAAGAAGTTTAAGACATAGCTTTGCCTTGCCTTTACTTAAGACAGCAAAATATTGTTTCTAATTCTCCCAAAAACCCTTGCTGGGTCACACAGGTAATAAAAGGCAGAGACAGAAGTCAAAGAGGAGAGAGCCACAAGTGTCTGTTGTTGAATAGTCTCTGTTCTGTCAACTGTACTGTCTCTGCTCTGTTACTTGGAACCCACCCCATACTTTTCCAGCTCCAGTCCCTTCAACTCTGGTCTCCTCAGCTCTGCTTCCTCCTGTGCACATTGTGACCCTGTTCATCAGGTCTGGGCTCCACACAAACTTCAGGTTAAAAAAAACATTTTACTTGTATCAAATTACACATTTGCCAATTGCTCATTTACCAACATGTCACTTTCTTGTTAAAAAATTTTTGATTGGGAAGACCACCATTTTAAGTATCCACGGCTCTAGGCAGGTTGCCTGGGTAAGGGCAGGGAGTGTTGGTGGAAAGCCACACTAGCATCTCCCCTGAAACTCTAGAGCTGGATTAACAGAAGTTTCAATATAAGTGCTACTTGAGTGGGAGAAGGTGCCAACCTTTGGTATCTGGTGTTGCTGTTGTTGTTAGGTGCCATCGAGTCAGCTCCGACTCATAGTAACCCTATGTACAACAGAATGAAAACACTGCCCAGTCCTGGGCCATCCTCGCAATTGATGTTATACTTGAGCTCATTGTTGCAGCCACTGTGTCAATCCATCTCATTGAGGGTCTCCCTCTTTTTTGATGACCCTCTACTTTACCAACCATGATGTCCTTCTCCGGGGACTGGTCCCTCCTGATAACACGTCCAAAGAATGTGAGACGAAGTCACGCCATCCTTGCCTCTAAAGAGCATTCTGGCTGTACTTCTTCCAAGACAGATTTGTTTGTTCTTTTGGGAGTCCGTGGTATATTCAATATTCTTCGCCAACACAATAATTCAAAGGTGTCAATTCTTCTGTCTTCCTTATTCATTGTCCAGCTTTTACATGCATATGAGGCCACTGAAAATACCATAGCTTGGGTCAGATGCACCTTAGTCCTTAAGGTCACATCTCTGCTTTTTTTTTTTAACACTTTAAAGAGGTCTTTTGCAGCAGATTTTCCCAAAGCAATATGTCATTTGATTTCTTGACTACTCCTTCCATGGGTGTTGATTGTGGATCCAAGTAAAATGAAATCTTTGATAACTTCCATCTTTTATCCATTTCTCATGATGTTGCTTACTGGTCCAGTTGTGAGGATTTTTGTTTTTTTTATGTTGAGATGTAATCCACATTGAAAGCAGGAGTCCTTTATCCTCATCAGTACGTGCTTCAAGTTCTCTTCACTTTCAGCAACCAAGGCTGTGTCATCTGCATAACACAGGTTGTTAATGAGTCTTCCTCCAATCCTGATGTCCCATTCTTCATACAGTCCAGTTTCTTTAAGTATCTGTTCAGCATACAGACTGAATAGGTAAGGTGAAAGGATACAACCCTGATGCACACTCTTCCTGACTTTAAACCATGCAGTATCCCCTTGTTCTGTCCAAACGACCACCTCTTGGTCTCAGCACAGGTTCCTCATGAACACAATTAAGTGTTCAGGAATTCTCATTCTTTGCAATGTTATCCATAATTTATTATGATCCACACAGTCGAATGCCTTTACATAGTCAATGAAACATAGGTAAACATCTGATGTTTTTATCATAGTACACATATAGCTATAATACATTAAAGATTTATATATTTATATACAATGTACTAAAAAGTATCAGACAACTTCCTAAAGGGAAAACATATGCTAGAGTACATCACATTAAAATATTACAATTCATCTTTTTAAAAAATTCTACTTTTAATTCAGCTCAAGAGCCACATACAACAGGAAGCTGAACTTTTTCCCCATGCCATCTTGAGGCTATGCCACTTGAAGATCATTATAATAAGTGATCTCATTATAGTAAGATTTTAACTCTGCTGAGAAGTATTTATATGAAACCAAAATATATTTTCCTTTTGCATATGGTACCTCTTTCATTTGGCAGGGTAATTCTGGGTTATTAATTCCTATTCTGGCTAATTTTCTCTTCCTTAAGCCTTATTCTTCCATCAAACTCTATTTGCAAAATGATAGTCCTTATATTTTTAATAATCCTACTTCTTGGGAACTTCCTCCTTTGTATCACTGGTTCATACCCTCTTTCTCCCTATCATTACCCCTAACTCTACACGCATGCACGCACACACATTTACTTCTTGTGATCTTTCTCTCTCTCTCTATCAGTCCTCTCAATTCTAAAATCCATGATCCTGCAAATATGGGACATTTCCTCTCTCAGTCTGGTTACAGAAGGCAAAAAACTCTTTCTTCTTGACCCATGATCATGTTTTATGAATAAAAAAGCTGATACGTACTTCTCTCCCATCTCCGATTTTCTTGAGGAGAAGTTTGTCCTGACACCTATATGAAGAAGCTTGCCTTGCTAACTCACAGTATAGTCCATGGACCAGCAAAATCACTTGGGAGCTTGTTAAAAATGTAGAATCTTGGCCCCCAACCCAAACTTACTAAGTCAGAATTTGCATTTTAACTAGATCTCCAAAAGGTTTGTACGTACATTAAAGTTTTAAAAGTACTACTTGAGAGAATAAACACAAGTTACCTAGTAATGGAAATACAATGAGAATCTGTATTAAAGGGGAAAATATTTTCAATGAATCAACAGCTTTTGAAAAATTATTGTAAGGTTTCACTAAGTAATCTGAAAAATGATCTTAAGTGATTTTCTTACATTCTATACTTTTTAAAATTAATAATGAAGCAAAAATAGTGCTTACTCACATCAACAAATGTGACCAATATACGTTGAAACATGCTTTCCAAATATGTAAAATGTTTAAAGCTTAGTACTCTAGGAACATACACTTGTTAAACTCTAAGATTTCCCTCTTGATATAGGTAAATTATAGTATTTAAGAAATTACAAATAAGCTTAGCTTCATTTAGTTACAAATAAGCTCTTTTAATCTGAACCTATAGATGAAGTCACGATGTGAATATATTGTCCTTTATGAATGAAACAATATGCTCTGAGTAAATGTTTTCATTCAGTGCTATGAATACAAACTGATCCTTCTAAACTCTATTGCTTCCTTCAACCTAGAGCCAAAGATGCCTAACTGTAAGATTAGATTCAGGTTGCTATTAAATAGGGAAATCCAAATTTTACGTGCATTTGGAATTTCTGTATTTAAATTAGGAGCCCTGGTGGAGCAGTGGTTAAGCACTCGGCTACTAACCAAAAGGTCAGCAGTTTGACCTCACCACCCACTCCCTGAGAGAAAGATGTGGCAGTGTGCTTCTGTAAAGATTTACTGCCTTGGAAACCCTACAGGGTAGTTCTACTCTGTCCTATAGGGTTGCCAGGAGTCAGAATCAACTCGACAGCTGTGGGTTTATATTTAAATTAATATATGAACATGCCCAATAGTCTTAAGAATTCCTAAAGCATTAAACATTATGATGACTCCAAACCACGATAACCCAACTCAGGAGGAGTTAAAAAAGTCCCCATTTTCTCCTTATTTTCTTCCAATCTAAGCAAAAAGGCATGTTAGGATATTAAGTATCTTCAGCTTTCCTGGGAGAGATAATTAAACATTTTAATTTAAAGAGCCTCTGCTATGATTTCAATGTTTCCCAGCCAGCAGAAGAGCTAGAGGACTTGTGACTCCTTTCCTCTCAATGAAAAGATGAATAGCCTATACAAGGACCAGCCTGCAATCTGGTCTTCTGACACTACGTTCTGAGGTCAGGTAAAATTTTTAAATGTTGTTACATGATTAAAATCATTATCAAACAATAATTTTTTAAACCATTTACCAGAAAATCATTGAGGTTTAATTAAACTTACAATTCAATTAGTCCACTCCAGTATCCTCCTAATGCCACAGTGAAAACAGCAATGGCAAAAATAACTACCATAGTATAGTCAAAGTTAGGCCATGATGGAGAATACATTTTCACGGTAATGTTACTTCCTAGAGTCTGAAAGACAAAATAACAGTTAAACACGGGAATTAATTTTCTCTCTACTGTAGAGTATGGCAGCAATATTCCACATTTCGCTCTCGAATGGACACTATACATCAGATAGTCAAGAATACCAGAACTATGTCTGACACCATGATATATTCTGTAGTCAAAAGTATGAGGTTATGCTTTGGTTTATTAAATCTTTTTTTGTTTGTTTATTAAATCTTGAAACTGCAGTGCTCCATACAATCACATTTTGTTCAGGGATTTAAAGTTATGATAAATGACATAAGAGAAGAGATTTTACAAGAAGCAAAAACAAATAAACATGCTTTGTAATATAACGGCTGTGAAAAAGCCTATACCAAGTGGGAGGTGAGTACTTCCCAAATAAAGACTTGATAGGCCTTTACCGCTTCTTGTTAGCAAACGGAGCATATATAACAATTCAAATTAAATATCAGTGATTAGAAGTAAAGAGCTGCATTATTCATATAAACTTCATTTAATACATAATTACTAATTTACCTGCTTCATATCTTTCAAGTCTTTATCGCTTATAAATGCAATCAGTATTTTCACATCATGAAATTCAGATTTGTTCCCTGAAGGAGGATACTAAAAGAAAAAAACATCTTATGAAAACTTATGAACTACTAGTATACTTACAGAATAAAAGTAATGCAAATGATTCCATTAAATATAAACATTACATCTTGTTTTAAAGAATTAAAGTTTCAGATGTTCTTTCCTAATATTGTAGAAAGAGTTCTCAAAAACCATGGTTTTGTTTGAAAAAAAAATCAACCAAAATGCAAAACCAGAAAGCTGAACTGATTAACCAAAAGAGGAACACTGGAATCCTTTTAGCATAAACTTAAACTGATATGCACATACACACAATGAATAACTAGTGTAACATGGACAGTATCTGCCACTCTCAACGTTACTGAGTAGTCAGCCCAGTGACCTTGCAGCAGTGTGCCCATGGTACATTCTTGGTATTTAAAGTTTTATTTGTTTCTAACAAAGTCTTGTTTATTCTAGAACAAAAACTACAAAATTTTCCAATTAAATGCCCATCACATCCAGAACCTCTCATTAAAAAGAATCATACCACCAGACTACTCAAAACTCAGCCCCCTAAACCACACACACAGAAGTTACTTCAATTCCTGTGAAATTTGATGTCATGAGTGCAAAAAAAAAGTAATTACAATTTTACAACTTACTTGGACACTGTTATTGGCAATCAACAATGCTTCAGCACCTCCTGTCTGTGCAATTCTGGCTTTTTCAAGAAAATGGCAGGCTCCCCACTGTACCACAACTGCTCTGTCCTTTATCCCAGCAGAAGGAATATCAGAGACATTGCATAGCGGTGTGGTAGTGAGATTCATTAAACTAATGGAAGTCTGAAAATAAGAAATGTCTTTAATATGATAATTATCACATTTTACCCTAAATGCTGAATGACAACACACCAATATTGATTTAATACAGCATTCTTTTAAATTAGAAATGTTTTATGACAGACAACCAGGCTTAGAAGTATTTAAAAATTCCCCAACTTGATTGCCCCACAGAGAAAAAAATATTTGAGCAAAATCAATAAATTATTATTATTAACCATCATATATTACAACTAGTTCACATGCTAAAACATAATTATCACTCATCCTCACCTTTCAAACTTTTATATTTAAGAATAACTAGCAACTGAGTTACTTACTGCATTTTCCACGGTACTTGGAAGAGCTGTCCAATGAGGGTTGTACAGAATGCAGTAGTCTTTAGATGGTGAAGTCCTGCCATTTCCAGACGCGTGCAGGATTGCTTCCTGAGCAGCTGTCTAGAACAATAATTTTCACACTGGCAGTAATTTGGTTTGCCAACAAATAAAGATGTTAATAAAGCTATTTATATACAGGTTTAACCACATTTCCTTAAGAGGAAAGGTCTTGCAATGAATTTATTTCTTCTTGTTTGAGGAGATAAAACAAGGATAAGTCACTTTCTTCTAGGCATACAATATGGACCTTACTATAAGGGCCATATCCCAAGGAGGATTCTTGCTATGATGCAATAACTTCAGTACTCCCTCATAGTCTGAAACTTTTCTTCCAAATTCCTTTGAGTTATTATTTCATTGTTATTTTTAGAAAGAAACTAGCTAGAACTTGAAACAGAACATTTTCGAAAGTTCTCAAGACTCTGCAACTGGCCTATTGAAAAAGACCAACCCAAAATTTAATATGAGGAAAAAGAGGAACTAGGTAAGATTCTTTTCTTTTCTCTCATTCTTATTACCCAGAAGTGATTGAAAAAGCATAAATATCGTACTTGGTGTGTGTGGAAATGAAGAAACATCCCAAGACAATTAGAATACCATTCCACATCACAACATCCTTCAAACTTGGATTAATCCAAATCCTTCTTCCCTCCTCCTCTGAGCAAATCCTTCTCTAAAACCATAAGCGGGGGAGGGGGGAGGCAGTTGCCTCACAAATAAATATGATGTACTGAGCCTCTGCCACAGAGCACATACTAGGTGAACCACATTAAATTGCTGATAGTTGACGATTTAGAGTTACAAAATAGGTAATTTCATACAGATCAATCTAAATTTCTAGAGTAAAGAGATGCTCTAATCCATGCTCTCCTAGTTAAAATCCCTTGAACATTAAAGGTTTTCTGCCATACTAAGGGCTTCATTAGCTTATGGACCTAAGCAAGTACAAGGAATTCATAAAACATGTCACGAAATTATATAATTAGATAAGGAAATTATTTGAGAAAAAGAGAAATGTAGTTTTCATTTAATTACATACTTGGTGACCATGAATTGATTCTGACAGCACAGCTGAAATAATATGTTAAATTCTTATGATATACCAAACTATATGCTAGGTTTCTTTCATACATTTATCTGGATTCAGTAACCCTATCTACTTAATAAGACATTAGAATTCCTGTTTTACAAATGAAGGCTCTGAGACTCAGAAAAGTGACTAACATAACCTGCCTAAGGCCGCACAAAAAAAACTCTGTTGCTGTCCAGTCAATTCTGACTCACAGTGACCCTACATGACAAAGCAGAACTGCCTCCATCATGTTTCTAAGGCAGTAATCTTTACAGAAGCATATTGCCACGTTTCTCCTGGGGAGCAGCTGGTGGGTTCCAACGGCCAACCTTTTGGTTAGCAACCAAGAGCTTAACCACTGCTCCACCACGGCTCCTTAAAGTCACACAGTTGGATCATTTATAATTCTAACTACAGAAGATAATCCTGCAGATAATTATGAGGCTTCATTGGATTTAAGTTAAACGCTTTTGGAAAGAATATTTTGTAAACGATTTGGGTACTTCTTATTGCATCCAGTTTTTTTTCCTTTTTATATTTAGCATCTTACTTGATCCTCACATGCAAGGGAAGAAAGTTTCCTAGTCCAAGATTGGAAATACTTTCTTTTTTTTTCTGACTTATACTTACTTCACATAAAACTTTATGGGGTGCCTACTTGTTCTGGTATGCTAAGATCTCATGTACAATTCATAACTTACTTTATCCAGACCACTTGATTTCAATCATATTCCATATCACCTTCTTTTCAAATCAAAGAATACTGATTAAGTCTATCTTAATGTTATGGTTGGCTTTGATCATTTTTCTCCTAAACAGCTTTTGGTATGGCAAACCAAAAGCACAAGGGAAAGATTAGTCCAAAGGACTAATGGACCACAACTACTACAACCTCCACCAGACTGAGCCCAGAACAACTAGATGGAGCCGGGCTACCACCACTGACTGCTCTGACAGAGATCACAATAGAGTGTCCTGGACAGAGTGGGAGAAAAATGTAGAACAAAATTCAAATTCACAAAAAAAAAAACCGGATTTACTGGCCTGACAGACTGGAGAAACCCCGAGAGTATGGCCCCTGGACACACTTTTAACTCAGTACCGAAGTCACTCCCGAGGTTCACCCTTCAGCCAAAGATTAGACAGGTCTATTGGGCAAACAATAACACATGTGAGGAATGTGCTTCGTAGTTCAATCATGTATACGAGACGAAATGGGCACACTAGCCCAAAAGCAAAGACGAGCAGGCAGGAAGGGACAGGAAACTGGACGAATGGAAACAGGGAACTCAGGGTGGAGAAGGGGAGTGCTGACACATCCCGGGGTTGGCAACCAATGTTACAAAACAATCTGTGTACTAACTGTTTAATGAGAAACTAATTTGCTCTGTAAACTTTCACCTAAAGCACAATTAAAAAAAAAAAAAAAAAAAAAAGATGTCCAAAAGTCTTTAGAAGAACAACTGTAATGGTGGTGTATGCTATATTCACATCCTTGCAGATGCACTATTTCTCCCTTCTTTTTGAGATCAAAAACCAAAACCTAACCCATTGCCACTGAATAGATTCCAACTCGTAGTGATATGCCACATCTTTCTTCCAGGGAGTGGCTGGTGGGCTTGAACTGCTGATCTTTTGGTTAGCAGCCGATTGCTTAACCACTGTGCCAGCAGGGCTCCGTTTTTTGAGATCAGTGAGACCTTCATTAGAGAGACATGTGTAAGGAGCTCTAGTTCACCTGCTTACTTACACTGAATCAGTCCTGCGCTGACTTTCATTTCCGTCTCCTGGGGCTGCATCCATGTTTTCACTCCTGTAGTTTCAACCACCCACATTTGAATTCCTGGACTCAGTTCCAATAGACTCCTGATGCTGACTCACTAACCCAATATTAACCTACTGGTAACAGACCTGTTCTACTCCTGTCCAAGCAATTAGCACAGTTCAAGGATTCTTCACAAAGTTTACTGGTTTATTTGTCTACTATCCTTTCCCCTTCGAATGAACTTTCAACACTAGATTTATTTTCCAAATTCAAGTCTTTACATACTCATTTTGAAAATAATGATTTCTCTAGCTTAATATTTAACACACTATATCTCATCCTGTAGCTATGCCATCCTTTGGATCTGCCAGGGCTCTGTAGCTTGGCCCATTCTCATCTGATCAAATTAAGCTTTTGAATAATGCAATGTTAACCTTTACCCATGAATATATTTAAATCCGTTTAAAGCTCTAGCATACACCATATAAGAAAATTAACTCAAAATGGATCAGCGAACTAAATGTAAGAACTGAAACCATAAAACTCTTAGAACAAAACACAGGAGTAATGTTTTGGGATCTAGTTTAAGACAATGGATTCTTAAATATGGCACCAAAAGCATGAACAACAAAAGACAAAATAGATAAAATGGACTTCACTGAATTAAAAACTTTCATGCATCAAACGATTTTTATCAACAAAGTGAAGACACAACCTACAGATTAGGTGAAAATTCTGGAGAACCACAGATCTGATAAGCGCTTAATATCCAGGATACAGGTAGTCCCCAACTTATGATGTATTCCAGTTACAACGAACTGCACTTAGAACCATTCTGGGTTTTGTTTTGTTTTTTTTTTCGGTACATCTTACTGTTAGTAATATGTACTACATACAATGTTGCAGTGCATAATTTGTTGATGTTATTCTCAGATGTTCACTCACAGATATTCAATTTCATGATTTACTGTTCTAAACACTGTCATATAGCAGGCTATGGCCTGGTCTACAATGAAGTTGGAGTCATTGTCAGGAGTTGTGACAGAAAGCTGAGCAATGTTCAACTGTAACAATATACAACTGAACTGCACGTGGCCCAACAGCTGTTACAACTCCAACTTCATTGGTATGACACTGACACTGACTTTTGTAGACCAGGCCTATAGTGCGATCTCATTCAGCGTTTTGTACCATAAGAAGAATCAGTTGTCAATATGAAATGAGGTATTCAACTTACATCAGAACTGACTTGCGACTGAGTGGTTGGAATGGAACCCCATCATTTAAGTCGAGGACTACCTATATATAAAGAACTCCTACAACTCAATGACAAAAAGACAAACAACTAAGTTTAAAAAAAAAAAAAGGGCAGAGAACCTGAACAGACATTCACTAAAGATATATAAATGGTCAATAAGCACAGGAAAAGATGCTCTAAGTCATTAGGGAAATGGAAATCAAAATTACAATGAGATACTAGTTCACTCCCACTAGAACAGCTATTATCAGAAAAACAGAAAATAACTATTGGTGAGGATGTGAAAAAACTGGAACCCTCATCCTTTGCTGGTGGGACTGAAAAACGGTATAGCCGCTGTGGAAAACACTGCAGTGGTTCCTCAAAAAAATTAAACATGGAATTACCATATGACCCAACAATTCTTCTCTTAGCTATATACCCAAAAGACTCAAAGCAGGTACTCAGACACTTGCACACCAATGTTCATTACAGCATGATTCACAATAGCCAAAAGGTGGAAATCCAAGTGTCTATCAACAGATGAACAGATAAATAAAATGTGGTTTATACACACAGGTGGTTCTATTGGTGATGCGGTGGTTAAGCTTTGCTGCTAACCGAAAGGTCAGTAGTTCGAATACATCAGATGCTCTGCAGGAGAAAGATGTGATAGTCTACTTCGTAAAGATTACAGCCTTGGAAAACCTATGGGGCCGTTCTACTCTGTCCTATAGTGTCACCATGAGTCAGAATCGACTCAACGGCAATGGATTTGGGATATACATACAGTAAAATATTTTTCAGCCATAAGGCGAAACAAAGTTCTGATACATGCTATATGACATGGATGAACCTTGAGTAAAATAAATCGGACACAAAAGGGCAAATATTTTATAAGCCTACTTATCTGAGATATCTAGAATAGGCATGAGCAAAGAGACCAAAGTTTATTAGTGGTTACCAGGGGCTGGAAGGAGGGGTGA